CTCTGAGTTGGGCGTGGAAAACAGCACTCTCTTCGGCAAACGATGGTTCGGCTTAAGCAACACATGTCCCAACCAACGCAGCTTCTGGTGCTGGACACATTCTTCAATGGAAGTACCCGTTACACAACCGAAAACGCGCTTTCTAACTGTCTCATTGCGGATTCGCCGACACCAACTCACACGAGCTACGGTTCTGAGACAACGATTGTTGAACACCTGAAGACGTCTCAGTTCCGCTGCTCGAACAGGGAAAATAGGTGGTGCTCGGTCTCACACTTTCTCGTACGACTGACATGGTGAGCTGCCATCCGTTTCCAGGTCTGCCTGTCACATGGAAACTACATCGATGAGCCCACGTATACAAGTAATACCTAATGTGAATTCCCCTGAGCCGCGTGCGGAGCCCGGTGGAGGCTACTTTCGTTTTTAAAACGAAAATCACGAGGAACTTCATCTGCTTTCGGTAAATCTAAGGAAAGTATTAGCACAATATTACTAAGCAAGTGCAGTCACAAACTCATCCCCAGGCATGCTACGCGATCTAGTAACGAATGGTACGCTTCCATAGGGACCAACAAGAAAGTAGGGATTGTCAGTTAGTATTTGAATACGTCATTATCCAAGAAACTGGAAGCTGTACTCAAGTGTATTTTTTAAATTGCCACATACCCGTTCGTTTGGATCTCGGTAGGCTCGCATGGCATGTTTGAGGAAGACCGTATTGACCAAGAAGGAGATTACGTTGACCAAGGTTTGTCCTTGCTCACGAGCGCCTTCATCCTGTGGTGTGGAATGTGAGGTATCTCGGGGCTCCGTTACTGAGGGGAACGGTCCGGATATATGAGATGCCAAGACCGTTATCAAAGACAGGAACGCACGCGTGATCGGGTACTCTTCGGCACGTGGCTCAACTTCGTCTATTTCGGTCTGTCGAAAGGAGACATTAGCATTACAATTAAGCGTTTCCGTTACAGTAGCAATTAAGGAGTTAAGAATTAACCGAGTAATCACGCGTTTCGAAAGGCACATTCCATTCATCCGAGAGGAATTACGAAGGTTAGTTTATCCAAACATAGACGACAGCCACCGAGGAATTTCGGATAGATTTGACCCATGAAATCTAGTTGAAGAATTTGTGCTTCAGCGATTGCGTTTTCCAAAGGTCTGCTAAAGTGACCGTAGAATCGATCAATGAGAATACGTTTCAAAAGTGAACGAAACCGAAATCGATGAGGCAAAAATGGAGGAAAAGGGATACTTACATGCAAGCAGCTAACTGGTCCATGAGATCCTGCACGTTCTTGGGCGATCGGATGAATCTGAGCAGTCAATAAAAGGTGAAAGCGTTTGGATGAAAGAAATGTACTAGGCAACCTTGGACTTGCAATTATCCCGGTAAACAGAAAGAATACCGACTGGTTCCACAAGTTGAGAGCATGCCCACTTAGTGTGACAAAAAGCCACCCAAAAGTTAGACTGCGGCCGGGGACTGCGCCTACTTGATGAGCCCCAAGAAGGGCGAAACCGGTCGTGGGATGTCGACGAATTTTCAACAACCTTACGAGTAGTGCATTGCGAATAAAACAGTCATTTATTCACTCACTAAGTGGCGCATTGATCTCTTTAGTCTATATTATGGAGAATGATTCGGGAAGCTGCGGTGAAGAAACAAAAAGTAACGCTCAACCTGAAGGCTCGAGACAGCTAGGTGGTTAAGGCACTAGCTTACTGGCGAGAGGGTCCGTGGTTTGAGCCAAAATCCGGTTTCCCGACTGCTCCTGTCTAGATTTGAGAAACCTGACAGTACGTCACCTCTCGTGCTTCTATCGAGTGACAAGACAGCTGGGCACCGAAAGTGTTACAGCTGAGCGATTATTATTAGCAGTAGTGGTATTGTTATTACTAGGCCTAGAGCTAATCTATCTCATAGGGAAGCACAAAGCCACATATAAGACAATTCGTGAGATAAATGAGAACAGGAGTAACGGAGAAGTCAGCAACAGATTCGCACCTAGACCTGGTCGAAACAAACAAACGTATTTTACATCCACTGTTAGCTGCGCACCAATCCACAAAATCTAGGAAAAGTATACCTACAAAGCAACTTAATGGTCACTCACCTCCGCAGCAGTCACATGGTGCCAAACCAAGGCGGCTACAGATACATTTCCCGACAGGGCCGTCAATAAATGGATGAGATCGGCTTTGAGCACCAGTGGAACAGGGCAAGTCAGAAGTCCTAAGCAAGTAGGCACGACCTGCCAAATTGCGGTTGCAGCGAAAAGCGAACGAGACACCGGATCCTATGGTCGTAAGCGAAATGAAAGAGTAGATATGTGTTTTTCTGTCAGTTCGCACGATACTTATCGAAGAGAAAATACTGCTATCATGTAAGAAACAATAGTCAGATTTGTGAATGGATAAGTGGCGTGACAATAGCTGGTAAACGGCGGTCCAAGAACACAGTGAAAGAAAATGGCACTATGGAACGAAAGCTTACTAGACGGGCTATTCTGGAAATCAGACGGAGAACAGTCTGGAGGGCAACTTGTTCCTCCGGTTTAATGGCACGTGTGGTGGTGTGAGAAACGTTCGCACCAATATAAGCGGACGTAGAGGCAGCCGAGCTCATCTGATCCATTACAGAGTCCAACCCAGTTGGGCGGCGACTCGAGACCGTCGAGCCAGGAGGTCCGTAGAGGTGAGGATAAATTTGTGCTTGTGGATGTCCGGCTTGAAGTGCATTGGTTTGCTGTAAACTCGGTTGTTTCATATGACTCAGATATTGACGAAAGCTTGAAAAATAATGGTCCCATGAAGTGAGAGACGCAGCTCTCCCTGAGTATGAGAAAAAGAGAAATATAGAGCTTCAAACCCGCAACTTTACGCCTAAACGGACCTTACAATCAAGGGAAAAGATATGCAATTCATATGCCAAGTAGGTGAATTTCAAAGAACAGTAACAAAGGCGGTTATATCTCATCTGGTAAAACCGTTGCAGGCAACGGGGGATCTGTCGACAGACTATGAAAGGTGCGAAACTATGACAAACGGATTGACGAAAAAGTCTGTCCCTGACCTTAAACACCTGCATCCAACTGCTACCTCGAAAACTATGTACCAATTCTGGTTAATTCGCCCTTATTCAGACAGCCCTAACTATATTCGACAATGTTATAAAAAGCATCATAAAGAGAGCGCTCACCTGGGTTCGTAGCATTGGCGCGCAGCAAAGTGAAACAGAAACTGGCTGAACTGCGAGACCCCACGATACCATGGAGCATACGTACGTAGGGGATGAACAGGCTGGAGGTTGTTACGAAATCACCGACCGACCGTACAAATCGGAATAAGGAGGCCTTCATGAGTGGGGCAAGAAAATGTCACGTGAAACGTAAACTCATAGTGGATATCCGGTTACAATGTGTCATAGTAATACTTTAACGAGTTAGCAAGCAAACACGGCGAGGAGATGGCTCAGTAGTTAGAGTACGAATCTGCTGACCGGAAGGTCCGTGATTCGAACCCGACCTCTGCTTCCCAAATTTTCCTGTCTAGGCTTGGGCAACCTGGCACGTTGAATGCTCAGATGCGGACATTCCAGTCCACTGCGGTAAACAGAATACCGCACCCGGCTACATGATTTACGATGGCTTGCAGCCATTTGGAAAAAATACGTCCTTTATGTGCGCAAAGTTGAGGCCCACCCTGGAAAGACTGAGGTATTGAAATATAGCATTCCCTAAAATCGTGGTGTTGTTATTCTCAGAGGCACATGGGTCTATGAGATGAAGGCTTCTGTGGCGACTGGCATGAGGTCAAATACAACTCTGTGTTCAACAGAGTTATCACCCGACCCATTGCAGTGAAGGCATTGGTAGACAGTTAGTCCCAGGATCCATGATGGATTGGTAGTGCGGACAAGGTATTCGGATCTTTGAGGCCAACTATATCTCCGCGATAGTGCGCGGTTTTACCATAATGACAGTTAGGCCTTCAGCTTCCATAATTGTTCAGACATCCCAGTAATTAGGTCGTTATCCGATAAGCAGCTTGTATTCCGGTCATCCCAATGGGAGAGTCAAAAGTACGCGTGAGCATGGAGCTTTTCCGGTAAATGGTTACCCAGCTTTTGTTTAAGGCTACCCCCTGGCCTATACACAACCAGATGCCAAATGCTAGACCGCAGGAACTGAAGTGAACGGTGAGACAACGTTGTCGTTAAGACTGTCGGGTTCCAAAGTTAATCTCACAGGCAGTCGGCCGAAGTAGACTCATGATTCCGCTAGTATTGGTTCGGATTCGGACGTTAGCCCACCAGCCTAGGCTGATAACCAATGGACCAACAATCGGGTTCCGGGTTCCGATACCTGCTTTCTCTCATTTGATTTAGTAAACGCGTCTCAGCCAAGGGATAGCAGTGAACTGAACTCTGTAGGGTGAAACATAAGGAGCACTCAAGAACAGTTAAGGATTGCTCTAAGATACGAATTATACATAAGATGCATGTATACATAAACGTATGTATGCACTTTTGTAAAAAAAAGTGTGCACATAGAAATGCCCCCGGAAAACAAAGTAGACCTACTTGTCTGGCACCTTCAGATTCGGTTCTTCGGGCAGCAACGGCGTGGAGTTTCGATTGGGAACGAGATATTAGTCCCCCAGAGAGTAGCAAATCCCGTGCACTGGAAGATGTTTCGCCAGTTGGCGTGCCCAGTTCGCCGGCTGGCCACCAATATTCCAGTGCTAAACGAGCGTGTAGTTTCGATCCCGGGTGATCATATAACTCAGCGATGAGTAGTAGGAAGTTTGCAAATCCAGAACCGTTGGAGGATGGGTCAAACCCGGTGCGGCGAAGTAGGTCCTCATCACGAAGACGGATCTCCTTTACACGCGCAGGCATATACACCAGCAGGTCAGTAATGAGACTGTGCAGACGGTAGACCCACAGTGGCTGGAAGCAAAAGTGGCACACCAAAAGCTAAGTAAACCTCCGATAAAACTTATCAACTGAGAACCGTATACGGGTTGCGCAATGGTTCAATCATAGGTTTCCTTAGAACGGAAACTTAGCTTGATCTAGGAACAGAACATGGCAACCAGTATGCCCAACTTCCGAAGTTCGAATCGCACACTCATTCAATGTTCCTCCTAAAAACAGTTGGCCTCACTTAACAGATGATATAACCGGTAAAAAATTATCAAATCTTTTCACACGACGAACAATCTATATGCAGCTCAGAAGAAAAGTCACCCGATGAGTGGAACCTCCATCTGAAAAGACGCCACTGAAGGAGCCAGTCAATCAAAATGTGACTACGGAATGTAGATTCAATGGCCGAAGGGCGAGAGGCCACCGGCGAGTTATTCAATATGGATGAAGACACTTGTTGTTCGCAGCCAGCACTCTTAAGCTAGACAAGCCTGTGACAACCAAGTGGATCAGGGCGTCAAGTCATTGGCTCTGGGCAGGGTCCTCCAAAAAATGCCTAGCACGCGTCGTCCTGTGGGTAAAATTGCTTGCTGAGTCAATTGTTTGAGTCAAAGGCTCTAAGAGAGTAATCCAAAACTCCATCTTACGGCATAGGCAATGGTGGACTAATATCTGTCCATAGCGTAAGAGCTATGTCTAGTCTCCCTAATTTGTCAGCTCCAACCATGATTATGACCCATGCCAATACAACCCCGTTTGTGTGTAGCACCATAAATCCAGCGTCGAATTCTAGTCCACTACCCAAAAAATAAAATAAACACGCATTATGGAAACCAAGTAAAGGCGTTTATTGTCCGTATACTTTGCCAGGTAGATCAACAGATCACCCTTACTCACAGCTTTTCCTCCCTAAAAATCTTCAAGCAATGTCTCCGGAACACGCAGACAAGGTCCTACTGCAGTTTACTCACTGTGTGTTAAGTGATCCAGAAGCGGCTCCCGATAATCTCAGTGGTGTGGGCATTGCGCCGAGTGCGAAGCTGAAAGCACTCTCCTTGATTGGACTTCCAAAAACAACGGACTGTGTAGTCAAACTGGCCAGATCTACCTAAATTAGCAACTGATGAATCTAAAACCTTCTAAAAAGGTCAGATTCCTGAAAATAATCCCAGCATGCCCAAAACCTACTAGGACCCTCAAATTCCACCAAAATAGCAGTAGGGAAGCCGTCAAGCATCCGACATAAAAGCCAATTACAGATTGGACGCTCGAGCAGTCAATCTATCTAGCAATGCCCAATGACGATGAGTGTTCGGGCATGTCACAGACGAAACCGTCGACGATGGTGAGCGTTCACCCAACGCTGATAGGACAAACTGCATTCAAGACCAAAAGTGCGCTTTAACCTACTAGGTCAAATTCCACCAAAATAGCAGTAGGGAAGCCGTCAAGCATCCGACATAAAAGCCAATTACAGATTGGACGCTCGAGCAGTCAATCTATCTAGCAATGCCCAATGACGATGAGTGTTCGGGCATGTCACAGACGAAACCGTCGACGATGGTGAGCGTTCACCCAACGCTGATAGGACAAACTGCATTCAAGACCAAAAGTGCGCTTTAATACCACGATGTCCCTCGTAATTTTGCACTCGCTTGCTCACAATAAAGTTGTTGTGTTCTTTGTTAGCGACCCTTTCTCCGACACTAAGGTGCTAAAAACCCAAAACACGTTTGTCGTCTCTGCATACGCCCCAACAAACTATCGAAGACGTCACTTGTGGAGAACTGTCGAGGATCCTGTGGGCATATATATATGCAGCGAGAGAGAGACTAAAGAAAGCCACTGCATGAGATCGCTTTGAAGATCATGGTTTCCTTTGCACTACTGGAAGCTATCCATATGGACGTGAGATAGCTGTGGTCAGGGCGCGAACTTACTGACCAAGGTTGGAGCCCAACCTAAGCAGCTTGACTGCGACCTGACAGTATTTCAGACATCGTCTTCCTTCGGGTGGCATGGAAGCTAAGCACCGAAGGGGTATTGGGGCTGAACGATTATCCATTATTATTATTAATACTATTGTTATTACTACTATTGTCTACGAACTGCTTACCCTTTATGTCCTATAGTAACTTTGAATTACACACAGGTTTCAAGGTTTTCGGATATCCACTAACGAACCCACGCATCTAATCACGATGCACTTTGTGTAGAACTCAACTCAACAATTCCTCCGCCAGCGGTGAGCGAATGACAGTCGGTCATAGAAAATACAATCGGCGGAGCCAAAAAGTACGCCAAGAGCCCTGATTTTCACTCGCTTTTCACAGGTATCAAATACAAGAACCATCACATTCTATTAACGATGTGACGGATGACAATGAGGCTGGTGTAACGCGACTCTATTATTTTCTGGTGAGCCAGTATAACAACTCTCAAATGTATTTCCCTTCACGCTGGTTGATGTTTACTGCGGTTGCGCGCATACATACTTCAAAAGTGCAGCCCAAAGAGCTTCCGAGGATATATATATACATATATCTATATCGCCATATCTATGCGATGTCTTTAAGCACATTGGTGACGCGGACAAGAACGCGCGTTCAGAAATCAAAGGTCGGTGAAGTTACAACTTCATTACATAAACCTACAGGCTAACCATGATGGTCAAAAAGAAACGGAGTACGTAACATATGTAGTTTGTCAAGCCTCCTCTGGTAAATGCACCTGTGTTTTGAGGCTAGAAAGCAAACTACCTGCATAAGCAAACAAAAAGTTCACAAACCTCTCGTTCAAAACCAGACACAGCAAGTAGCCTTTTCCGCATGAACTCCAGAGCGCCGGAATCTAAGGCCAAGGAAACCTGGGTTTCTTCATCTTCCTCAACACCGAAATCGTTCGAAAAGCTAGCTCGTCCGGTGTCTTCTGGCGGGTTCGTAGGACTAGCTGTAGGAGATCTGGTTAATGTGTCGTGACCGCGGCGTGCTAACTCCGTGCGTAAATGTGACGTACGTCGTAACGTAATTGACCAAGCCAGACGAAGAAGACCTAATGTATCCAGCTGATCGGACCAGTCGTCTGCTCTCTGTTTGTCCAGTCGGTCTTTTTGTATGTCCAGACATTGAGTGATACCAGAAGCAAACAGTCGATCCGAGAAGAGCGGATGTGTCACATCTGTGAGGATAGTATTAAAGCATAGATAAAAAATTTGGTGCGGCGAAAAACAAGTGACAAGGAGAACTGCAACATGACAACCAGAGTGGGGAATTCTGAATACATACTCGGAACACCCTAAACAGAACAGAGATCGCACATTCATTAACTTACCCATGGTGGAGATCTCATCAAGCTGATCTACAAAACCCTCGAAGATTGGAGAAGAATCCAGAGAATATAGAAGTGACATGAGCACATGAGCGTGTGCACGTGACAAAGTTCCGGACAGCTGGTCACTTATTGTGGACGGAGGCTTTTGTTCTTCCTCCCTCTGTGGTTGCTTAGAGCTTGGACGCATCAGATAATCCAAGACCAACTTGAATTCATCCAAATTGAAAGCAGTCTGACAAGACCAAAGCAACAGACATTCAGCAAGACCGTTCTCGATAGAGTTCAACAAAATGAAGATGTCGCTGCGGTGCTTGGGTGGACCAAAAGCCTGTGCTGCCTCTAGATGAGTGTATTCACTGAGCACACTGAAAGTCTGTAAAGAGTCTGAAACAAAATAAGAGATGTTACCGAAGAATCATGACACAACTAAGGCACAACAATAAATGAGCACCTCTTTTACTGTGGACGTAACTAAACGCCGTTAGCACTTACCTCATCATCATCATTATCAGCTGAAAGAACCGCGTACTTGTCGTTACATCTGTTATAGCTGCCACAGTTTGGTTCACTGACGATGTCGGGAGGTGAGATAGGTAGCTGCTCATTGGAGGCGGGAGGGGACATAATTGATGCGTAACTGCAGGGTTGTCAGGGAATTTTAAGTGGGAAGGTTGGGGAGGGAGCTTGCATTGAAGGAGCTTGGATACATGAGCTACCCGCAGTGCTTCCATGCGACATCAACAATGATATCAGATAAGGTGAACCAAAAACTTTCAAACCCCACTGTGTGATGCAGCGAACCAAAGTATTGGTTCTAGGTGCCAGGGTTCTGTACCCATCGATGATGGATAGACAAGAAGTAAGAATAGATGATTAGGGGGACCGGTTGCGTCAGTCAGGTGGAGTTACTATCGATTAAAAGCGACGGGAAAACGTGCACCTATAGAGAAATGTTTAACGAAGACAAGGGTCCTGATGCAGCAGAGCCGCTAATCGCACTAATAGGTAAGGCCTTCTAATTTATTGCCCCGAGATCCTGTTAAACATGTTGACCGAAGGTGCCCTTAAAAATCAATATCGTGGATCTTTCGTATACTTGTGATGTAGCTGAGGGAACGTGACGACTTGGTCAATGCAGCCTCAGCCCAGTCGAAATCCCGCTTGATGCTCACCGGTTAGTTTGGCGTGTCACCACGAGACGGTGAATCAATGGCACCAGAAGCCTCATTAGGACCGAAGTCAGACCGACACCTCTAAGGTTGCGATATTCACCGAGAGATCTACGTTCGGTGGTGTTTACGGTCGTGGTGACCGAGTTAACCTAAAGGCAGTGGACAGCGAGAGGATCTGTCGGCCATTAGGAATGGGTTCACGGCGATGTCGCTGTCAATGAGGCGAGTCAGTCAGTCAATTTATCAACTTCGACTTACAAGGGTAATGTACAACCAATTATAAGTTGGTTCCATCTACTACAACTTCGGTTGCCGGAAAATGGAAGAGCAGGGCTGGTGGTGCTAGGCCCCTTCCAGGATGGAGACCGCGTGATCCCCACTCCGTCTGGTTGGGGACGCCATAATAAACGCCTGCTAATCAGTGCCAATAGAGTTATTGTTGTCAGTTTCTATCCAGACTGCCTGGGTTACGACCTCAAACACGCTTGAAACCGCAGTCCGCAGAAATTCTGTTTGCATTTCAGCCACGGGAATGCCCGCGGCAATCCCATTATCATTTACAAAGCGAAACCTAGCAACTTTCGAAGCCCCTTACACATCGGCGGTGGCGCTTAGAGTATAGCGGAACCACGGCCTATCGTTGCATACAAGGGGATTAAATCAGAGTGGCTACAAGAAGTGGCTGCGCTCTGACCAGAATCAAGCCCATCGCCGTAAGCAGAATGTCCGCAAGCTATCGCTGACACTTCGGTTTCAAGCAGTCCACAAAAGACATGTAGGTGGTGCTACCTGCCTCCCCCCTGAAAACAGTAGTCATCATCATCATCGACAGCATGACATCAGTGTTCAACACCGATGCTTCACTGCCTTATAAAACAGTAGTCAACACGGAAGTCGACCGTTTCTCTGCTTAGGGAATGCGCAGAGCAGTCAGCGTCGTCTAACAAATCTTTATGAAAGGCGTTTCAGCGACCATACGCCACATATTCGGCCACGTTTCATCATCATCGGCTGTAAAACCGCTTACTCGCCGTACAGTGGTTACAGCCGCCACAGCTTCGTTCACCGATGATTTGAGGTGGTTAGATGGCTGCATATTGGAGGCGGTAGCTGATATGAATGATGCGTAAACACAGAGTTGCCAGTGGACCTTTAGTTGAGGAGTTCGGACAGGGACCCATGAATTCAAGGTAATCGCTTGGATGCACGAGCGCCATTGAGGGCGCGACTAAGTCGCGTCTGACAATGTCTCTAATCATCTTTGTCCCATCTCGGGGCCCCCATCAGGGGGACGACAATGACCAAAGCAGCTGTGTTTGCTGGTACTGGCTTTCATACTTCACTGCCAAGTCCTTGTTTGACCTCCACTGGCTCGTTTCCACCCTTCAAGTGGTTGTGCGAAATTCGGTCGGCTGGCATACAGAGTACGTAGCAAAGCCATCGCAACCTATGAGGTATGATCAGTTAATCAACCATGGGTCAGTTGTTTCTTCCGAAGTTCTTTAGCTTTACTTATCTGGTGTTCCCACTAGACTCGAGCAATGTTCGAAAGAAACCCATTGTCATAACACTGAAAGCCTTTTAAAGCCCTCTGGGCGCAGCGGTCAGATTTCTGACCACCATAAAAATATGAGGCGCACCGCAGGATGGTAGAGTCCATCCTTGGCGGGTAAGCTGACACGCCTACGCCACAGGTGATGCAGATTCACGGAGGCTGCTTTGGCCTTACCAATCCGGATGGATATATCATCTTCCGCGAGACCCACGGGACTGATAGAGCTGCCCAAATAGATGAATTTTCTGACTACCTCAATCCGCAAACACGAGACTGGGGTTCGAGCCTACCAGTCCTGCAGCAGCGCTTTATACTTTGCAAGTGTGAAGCACAAATCAAAACGAAATAGAATTATTTGGGTTATTCAATGTTGTTTGGAGTACGGTGGCGTTGGATTCAAGCAGATCTATGTTATCTGCGAACCCGATAGCTGTAAGTACGTGTCCCGGGAGCGGTTTGATCCCACAGGCATTAGAGACTGGTAGCAAGTCCACCATAATCGTATCGATGACAAAGCTGAAGACGGAAGGTGAAAGAGGACAGCCTAGCCTGACACCACCCGATGCGTGGAACTCAAGCGAGAGCTTCCCGTAGGCCTTCACACGTCCACGGGAGTTGGTATGCCGCGCCTTGAGGGTCAAGAGTTGCATTATCTACGCACCATACGCACTATTTCCAAAGGCGGTGTCGCAGGCCGGCTAAACTGTTTTCCGATGTGTTCGGATCATCTTTTCGGTTGTTTTCGCGAGTGGATTAGTGGACCGGCTTTTCACTTATCGTTTCACTAACCGTTGATTTCCTAAGGCTGGTTGATTGCATCAGTTGGTATACGGCATGGCTGTTTCCGGTGGCAAAAGCCTTCTCCATTTCCCCAGCTTTCGATATTCGCCAGAGTTCTAGGTCTTTCCTTAGGCTCTTCCCTATTTGACGTTTGAGGGGTTTTCATGCGCCGTCGTACTTGTTGTCTAGTGGTACGGATTTCCTGGCATCATTCAGGACTAGCGATCTCGAGGATATCCAGTGGCCATTTGACTTCATCGGAGAAGTCGGACAGACAGCACTGAACGCCGCTAGCATAGCTCCTGCCATATTTTGCCATGCTTTATTCACGTTCTCGCTACGTTCTTGGCCAGAGATAGACCATAGGGGAGCCTCAGTGCAATTGATAGCAAATAGACCGGTAGAGACTAGGTATATCCTATATAAAGATTACCTGCATGCTCTGAATCTGTCATAGTCTCGCGGAAGAACCAGCGATAACCTCAACACTCCGAGGACTACGCTTCTTTTCGCATGGATGATTCCAGAAGAGGGTGTCGTTGTGCAGTATGCAATTAAAAACAAGAGCGACTGGGCTGTGTCGGCTATCTTGGCATGTCGCCAACTTTTGGAACTCCCTACCGAGTAGGGTGACGAGAGCGGAGTGTGAGCGAAAATTAGAAAGCAAACTAGACCAACACGTGACGGAAACACGGCATTCTGACGTGTGAACATCGGAGGCCGAAATGGCATGAAATGAAGTTGTTCGTATGACTCCTTTCTCCCTTTCAATCAGCGAATACTGAATACTGTTTGGCTACCCATGGGCCACCGATTGGTTGGGGCATCGTTTTAACGAAAAACGTAGTAAACTCCCAAGACTTACGGAGAATATTGCTGAGAAGACCGGTTTTCCAGAGGTCAGATGTGAGCTTTTCAGCCAATTGTGAAGCTTCCGGGGACAATGAAGGGGACCAATTACGTCCGTCTCTCGCTTGTATAAGCGTTCGTAGAGCATCCACAGTAGAGAGGCGTGCGTCGTAAAACAGCGAAACAGCAAGATGTCCACGTGAAAGGTGAGGGCAAGACGGAAGATGGCTTTCGGCTATGTGAACAGAGTATACCATGAAAGTACAAAACTAACCTGTCAAAAGTAGTTCAACAATTATAAGCTCATCAGTCTCAAACAAATCGCTCAAAATTAAAACTTCGTCAACGAAATCCTGGGAAAGAACCACGCGCTGCTGAATATCTGGGAGTGCGATAGGATCGCTGACTGCCTTTTTAACCGCTTCCCTGTGGATTGTATTCCTGCCCTACGAAAATGTAAATGGTTACAGCCGTGCAACGAGACCGAACCTCTGTTCGCAATGGAGAAAGCAGCAAGTTTTTGTGGCGTTCAAAGGCTGCCTCTAATTCCAAAATCCTAACCTCACGACCGTTACAAAACACATCGAAAACTATTCCGCGTAGGGTCTTGCAGGCGGACCACATGACCAGCCAGTGCAGAAAGCGGAGCCCGGACGGCGGCCGGTTACAAGTCAAGAATGACTGAGAACGTCAACACAGAACGCTGATTGGTCCAAACTCTCACAGAGCCTCACGTGCTCAAAGGGTTTACTGTACACCCGGAAAAGGTCATGAGGTTTTGAGTATCCGCACAATGGAATTGAAAGTTCGAAAGCTATGATGTGTCCCCGATGCACTAAAGCAATCAGGCAACTGAGTTCGGAGTACCTGTCCAAACGTTTAGGCTCCTTTTAGGCATTCCGGGATCTCAGCGATGCCCAGAACTTATTCCACTATAGTTTTCCGCCAGAGGTATGATTGCTACCCTGGACAATGAAATTTGGTGAGCTGCAAAAATATGGTGGTATATTAGGATGGTTTTTAGTTTGAGTACATACGCAACAAAATGCCACATTTGGTGCAAAATGTTTTACTCCACTCATAAATGTTTTGCAGCTAAGAGCATTGTGTGGCTAATAAGACGCGCAGCATTCACGGATTCACGGATTGATACACAGAATCGAGGCTTCGACCCAAGTCTCCCGGGCCGGGTTTGTTCAGTGGTTGTCGTTCATCTGAAAGACACAAATAAAAAGGGCGTAGCATTGCTTTTTATGTTCTCGGCTCGGAGCAGTTTGCTTGCCAGCTCGAGGAATCGTATAAATAAACCTAACAGTGCTTTGAACTGGGTTATAGAAGGAGCGTGGACAGGCGCCGGAGGAAGGTCATTCCACGCAGCTACTAACCGAAAATTATGCCTAATAATTGCGTGCACTCTACGCTTGAACTTCTTACCATGGCCCGCCGGGTGTTTGCTGGGTCAGCGGTGAAAAACCTGTTGGCCACGCTTTGTTCAAACAGGACATAAGAAAGAAATAGGTCCCCTCGGAGAGATCAAGCATCGCGGGACGCGTTTCGCAGTCCACGGATTCGAGGCCGGCAACCATTTTCGTAGCGGTTTGCTTGACACGCTCAATGGAGTGATGTCTTTTGTGCGTCCTGAGCAATCAACTTGGTTGGTGTATTCAAGGAGCGCTCTGGCGTGGGCCCCGTAGAGTATTTGGAAGTCCATGCGAGTAATACGGAAAAAGGTGCGCAGAATCACCCGGAAAATGGCGAATGCTTTTTGGTGCAGTGAGAAGGGCAAGTTTGGGAAGACCCAGATCCCCAAATCCTTTCAGACATCTATCCTCATGATGTTTGTTGTCCTTCCACACCATGCATGAAAAAGGCATTCGCTGAGTCTCCTCCAAACGACGTATGGACGCACTTTTTTGTCATTCAGAGAAAGGTGTCAGTCCAACGACCACTGGTTTGCAGCGTTTACATCCATTTGGAGGGTACTGGCATTGGAACTGCAGGATTCCACATCGTCCGCAAAAAAGACAGGGGCTTGCAAGGGAGAGCGTTGATGTAGATCAGAAGCAGCAGTGGTCCCAGCTCGGAGCACTGAGAATTCGCACAATGAAATTGATTTCTCGAGAGCTGCGGTATTTCCAGGCTTGCCACTTCACGGTGTAGAATGTCTATTATACTGTATATGGTCCTGTACTATTGGGAATCATCTACCATGGCGAATCGTTTAAGTGAGCGAATCTCCAAAGTCAACAAACACCACTGACTGTAAATACGTTGCTTAATGTAATAAAAAATCGTGAATTGTGGAATACTTTGTTTCACTTACAGTGGACAGAACTTTCAGATGGTTCTCCAGCTGAAACAATTCCCTGAACATTTCAGAATTTACATGGCCCTTGTGGATACAAAATACGTGGAGTTGCATCCCTGCAAACAACTTTTGCTCGATACTTACTGCTACCAGGTGAAATTCCGTAGTCTTACTTCATTGTTGACAAAACGTCCTACAATTTTTTGGTAAACAGCAGAGTGATCCATATTGCTTGCGAATTATGTTTGGAAGAACTTGACGTTGATCAATTAGCCACATGGAATGTACGCCGACCGTAGCGGCCAGTTAAACGAACCCAGCTGACGCGCACGACGAACACGCAGCTAGGGGTCCGCGATACCCCATCACTACCGGAGAGAAGGATCAAAATAGACGACATAAAAGTTAAGATGGGTAAATATGTCCTTCCACCAGACGCATTATCTTCTTCGTGAGGAGCGTTCATTAGGCCGCTGACGTCCAGAAATGAGAGAAACATATAGGTTAGATTATCGAAATTTCACCACAAGGCGGACGGCCGACAAACTGGTAAGAATAGTTGCCCTAAAATGTGAGTATTTCAGTGGCTCTGGTATCGTAGGTGCTTGATCACACAGTGCCATCTTAGGTGGCTACTTCGCATGTCTGCCAACTGCATCCCTCAAGAAACACGAGACTTACATTAAATGCATAGGGTTTCATTAACAGGCAAACCGTCTGAATCTGATGGGTCACATGGAATCATCTCCGTCTCTTTCATTTAGCTGGCGCTCTACAGTGTTGGTTCTAATTGTCAGACAGTTACTCAGAGCTTTCGAGCAGTTCTTTCTTTGACCCGAAAACACGGACATGAACAGATTTCCAGGACACGTGCTGGGATTCTGTACTTTGGTTCAGGTCAATATCATAAGAAACCTTCTTTGCGGACCGGGTGGCAAGCACACCTTTACATTTTCTGGATGGATCGGGGGCTAAAATCCAAAAGAACTCCATTTTTATGTGGATCACACTTGCGACGAAGCTGAAAAGTACCACCGCCCCGTGGGCAAGATACACCATCACAACAGTCGGCGTGATATGATGCGCGATCCGCTGCACACCAGCGGCCACTGGTAGAACTCGGTTGGTAAAGGGCATACAAAAGCCAAATTCTGAGTTCCTAGACCGCCATCTGATTCGAGGTACAGTATCCTCGACCACCAACGGCAGGTCGTTAGTTGCAGGCTTTGAGCCTTGACGCAGCATGATCTGCCCCTGAACAATCGCTTGTTTAAAGATGGCCATGGCCTTCCTGAGTTCAAGCCTTTGAAGCCTATCCATCATTTGGTTCAAGTTATTTACGGAGGCCATCAAAAACTGTCAGCGGTAGTTTGGGAACAAGTGTAAGGGGTTCATCATTTCCCGGTAGGTTGTAATCCAACAGCATCGTTGGTGGATTGGAACTCACGCAAAGAATAAATCTATGAAGAGCAGTTCTTACTGCTTCGAACGGACTAATATCGGAATACAGAGAACAAGTGTATGCAGAAGAACTACATCGCAGAAAGGGCGTCTGCATTCTCCAGCTCAGGTTTTGACCGTGTGGGAGCATCTTGGTGTTTGCACCACAAACTGCAAGTTAGGTTACGTAGCTTGACCTCACCTTGTTTGGTGCGACACCATCATAGGGTAGCCTCGGCGGTCGAAGCCCCAAGTGCCTCAAAACGACAGAACCTGTATACGCAGTCATTCGACAGACAACGGTCAGAACGTGGGCGTTACCCTCCGGGATTTGCTATCTGTCACAATGGTACGATGTATGCATTTCACATTCTCTCACGAGCCACTCGGCATGCCGGGACAACTTTTGCATTGCATGCTCCAGCGCGTCGGAGTTGTGCACCTGGTCATTGAGACGGCCGTTCGCATTCTCCAGACGGTTGTCGGCCACATTACCGAAGTGGATCATTCCTAACTGTACGTGTATGTGCGATTTTCAGTTGATTTACAACCAGCTGGCCTTGAGATGAGAAATAAATCCAGAGTCAGCGCGGCGCATAAGCTGCAGGCCGTGCCGGAATCTGTGTGCTTGTAATACGATAAACAAAGAAGCTACCGTACAAGCGAGCCATGCGGCGAAATGTCTACCGGATATTCACAGAATGTGTCTATAGCCAAAAATGCATGGATATTGGATGATACATACGTGCTTCCTGATGGTGTTTCGGATATGAAAGTAACCAAGCATCACGTCACAGCTGAACATGAATTTTGCAGCGCGCAGCTGAGCGGCCAATTTACCCATAACAAAAGTCTTGATTGGATAATTTATCCCATCAGTTCCCCGAGTGAGACAAACAGTTTACGCATAGGAGCAAACTTTTCGCTCTCCGGGAACGCATACATAACCGGACGCCCGTTTTTATACCGTCCGCATAACAATGGTGCGATTTTACTTGAAAACGCGGTTCACACTAATGCTTTGCCCTCGTTTAGCCATAGTATACAGGCCCTGAACTTCTCCATTCTACTATTATAGTACAAAAGGTAGTTGATGTTTCATTCGCTTCTGCGACTAGCCTCTTCCAGTGGCTGTTTTCTGATTGCTTGTTCGAAATGACTGAGCCGTTTTGCTGCCCCGGCTTTCCCCTCAACCGGATGAACCATCCGGTAGCTGGGGTTATTTCATAATGCACAAACCGCAAATATGACTGCTGGGTGGCTTGTCACCCTGTAGATCTGGTAGCATGCACGAGGGATGAAGGCCTCGTGTGGTGGACAGGCACGCATTGCAAGGAGGGTCGCCCTGTTACGTTGCACCATTGTACGTTCGTATACTCACCAACCCTCCAGCAGCACGGGTGTATTGCCCATCTCCAGTGGTTCTGAGCCTGTTCTAAAAAGTAATAAGAAATAAAAAAACACTTATGCATGGGGTAGCCTGAGGGTACTGTGTGAGGCTCACGGCTAACGTTGACGTACCACATTCATCTTAGTTGGGCTACACCACCCCAAGTACACTTATTATGCACAGGTGATGATATCCACATACAAATTAGGTGTATGCACTAATAGAAGTTTTTAACATGGTTGCGACACATATAAAA